CATTCTAAATTAAATTAAAACTAGAGACCTATTGAACTAGAAAGAAAGAGAGAGGTTTCAATCTTCTGAACTAACTAGTATATCGAACCAGAGAACTAAATTAGTTCCCTTTGGTCTTGGGATTCCTAATGGAACTGTGAAGTGGCTAGTTCAAATGAACTACAACTGGCGCCATCTATTGAAAAAGGAACGGTACTAGATCAGTGAGATCATCTAATCCAATTTAAATATATTTTAAGTAAAAATACGATAATCTAAAGTTATTTTTCTGAAAATCAAATCCTTTCTTTAATTCCTATTTCCGTGTAAGGACCATAGGCGTTGGCCTTCTCTTTACATTTCCTAAAGAAAACACCTAAAATTTCAGGAAGAACTACAGTTCATCAAATGTAAACAGTTCCTTTTCTTGAACTAGTTCGTTCAGAAAGTATCTATCACTAGTGTGTTGGTTCATTGGCATTTGTTGGTTTATTTAAACCTTTACGGGTGATTACTGCCATATATCAAAACACTACAAATTACAATACAACGCTTTTTTATTTCCGAACAATTTAACATCAAAACGAACATTACTTTCTATGTAACATTAAGGAAAATAAAAAAGGGATTCCTAACACTGTCCTAAATAATTTTATTCCTTATCATTGATAATTTTCTAAGTACAGACAACATTGCTTCAATTGATGTAAAACTTTCAAAAAATTAAAAACCAAAACAAAAGATATTAGCTTTGCAGCAGAACATATACAAAAATCTGGTAGGCGCAACACACAACTTTCACTTACCGCTCAAATTTGAATAGAAAATATTTACTGGCCATGTTGTGCTATTATAAAATTTTTGAATTGCATTTTTAACTGAGCTAAAGCTAAAAGATTACAACTAACAAATCATAAACACTATTAAAATAACAAAAGTTCTATTTATTATATCAAAGGTTGAATATGGATTTTACGATTCATTGATTATGGATTGTACGACGATTAGTTATTAAACTGTTATTTTCCATTGCGAAGTTTACTAAAACGGAATAGAGAGATTTTTATTGTCTGCCATAGACAGGTCAAACGTTGTCACACTGATTGTAAGTGGATTCTGTTGGAATATCGCAAAGGGAAAATTTATCAAATTATTTACTAATTTAATTGTCTAAAAGGTTACATAATGATTTTTCGGAATAAACGGACGATAGATTCCTAATTATTTAAATATAATATCAGATCTAGAATTATTAAACTACAGTTAATATTTAAGGTTATAAACGTATCCATGAAATATTTATGTATTTATGTATTGAAAACATGTGATTTAGGCTAAATATTATTAGTTTTCAAAAATTATTACTTATAATTTTTTTGCCACTCTCCGTTACCTTCTACAACTTTCTATATTAGATACAGTATTTTCTAAAATTCTCCACTTTCCAACAATATATTATATGTATACCTTCTGACTGTTATTTCCTGAGATTCATTTTCGACCTGGATAAGCATTTTTATATTTTTCTTATTTATTCAATTATCAAATTCTTTCAAAAGTTATATTTAGCATTATTTCGTAACTTTTAATAATGAGAGATAGTTAATTATTTTAAATGAACCATATTAAAGTTACTTTAGAGGCAGACATATATGAACATTGAGCATTTAAGCCCTGTAAAGTGACATCAACGGGGATAAGACCTAAATGGTATTAAAGACCGCTTAATTATACAATGATACACCGAGTTTAATCAAGATCGTTAGAGCCGTTTTTGAGAAAAATGTGTTTCACCGTTAATATAAAGTAGCACTTCCGGTTAGACGATTTTAAGGAAAAAGTTGTTATGACATCTAAGGCATATATTATTTTAAATACGTAATATGAGTTGCTTACGATTTTTCGTTTTCGAGCTAGTGTTCACATACACACAGATAAACAGAACCCCAGATCTTTTTTCGGGACTTGATTATTTGGACTCCAAGGTACCTCAAAATTTGTATTTCCGTTGAAAACTCAGATTCGAAAATTTTCACGTTCGCAATACTTACCCTTACTATATATTGCATATACAGGTAAGTGAAAATAAAATATTTAGAACACCATATATTTGTACCAAATTGTCTGATTTGAACGAATTTTATTTAATTTTTTAGGAAATTTCGTAAACTTTAAAAGGAAACATATAACATCAACAAAAAGTGCATACTTCTTGAGTTATTCGGAAATCTAATTTTACCACCCCTCGTAACTTTATTTCTAGCTTCTTTTCTTTGAAGTACGTTATATATAAAATCAAAGGGTATCGAGAAGAATAATCTAGCCAAGTTTCATTGAAGTTGATACATTCGTTTAGGCATAACAGTCTATACCAACACAAGGTTTTCGGCCGCCATCTTGGAATGAAAGGGCGGATAGTAATGTCGAAGAAGGAGGATCATCCTCGGCTGACCTCTGACTTTAATTCCAAGTTTGAAAGAAATCAGTCTAGTAGTCTCGGAGTGAAGCAGCGGACTGACAATTTTTATTTTTCGATTTTCAAATTCTATGTATCTTGAAATTAAAACCTCAAATTTTTAGGGGAAGAGGTTATATTTTTGACATTGTTAGACCATTACCAAATATGCAAAATAAGTAATTTCAACATGTTATGGCTGGCAGAAATACGTTGGTTCATGCATTTTCTAGTAACTGAAATATGATTTTTGAACAGTTCTCGGTTTTCTAAATATTTAGGATACTTTGCAGACACTGATTTAACAATCAGATCTACATTGGTTTTAAAGATTTAATCCAGATTTCATTTTTTTCTTCACCTAACTTCTATCCTGCTAAATTTACTGTGAAATTCAAAATCATCAGCTGCTATACCACTGAACATGTTTGCCTACTATTGAAAACATACAATTGAACATGATTTTCCGGTTCCAAGCTATTTCTGAATTCTCTAAATGTTAAATATTTAATTTGATGTGAGCTTATTCAAAGTATTGTTAATAGATTGAGTGTAATGCAATCAACAAAATATTGACATTAACACTTCACATTTAAGAAAACCTTCTTTACTAATTTAATAAATAATCTTATTTATTCCAGATAAAATTATTCTTGACAGATGTTGAATAATGGAATTGAAAGGTTTTTTAAAAATATTTTATCATTGTTTTCTGGACATATATTAAGCACAACACTTTTTCTTAATAATGTATATGGTATCCACGTATGACTTAAATAAGAAATAGTTAAATACTAACAATTAAACACGAATGCCAGCAAAACCTTTGAATATTATATTTAGAAAAATAAGAAATTTAAAATAAAATTTTTATAAATAATACAAATTTTACACTTATGTTTCCCCAACTCCATTATTATGACGGGTAAATAGCAATGAGTTAGATATTTCTAAAAAATGATTTTCAAGACCTATTCATCCAAATAAAACTAAATTAAAATCTCATACCTTTCTTGGTAATTTTACTATTACTATGTAGAGGGCCATGGAACAGACTAGCTAATTTAATTATACAATCTGTCAGTCTCCACTCTTAACATACTTTCCCTCCACTTTGTGCCACAGTTAACTAATAAAATAGTAAGAATGAAAAAAACAAAAAACAAATAAAATAAAAAACTGTTGTAGTGTTACCAATGCTGTTTTATTGATATTATTTCAACCTCAATTTTGAAGAAATCCTGATTTTTTAAATATTTTTATCTTGGAGTGCTTTTTTGCGTAACAATTCTAAGATATATCATTATTTATTATATTTGGTATTTTAGGCACACAATTGATGATTAAATGTCTAAGAAGAAAAATTAGAGTAGTTTCGGTTAAATTTTTCTAGGTGATAAATAATAATGTTATGAAATAAATCAAGATATTTCTCTAAATTCTACAACTCTACAATGTTGATTTGTTTGTCTATCAGATTAATTTTGAAAATATTTTCATTACATCCATAATCTAATTCAGACAATATATATATATATATATATATGAAAATATATTTTATTTGTACTAATTTACCCCCTCTCCCAAAAATAATATTATAACACATACCTATACTGCATATATCTTAGAAAGGAAATAAATAACAAAAACTATGAACTGCAAATTTCAACAGTGACTAAGAAAAATAATGAACAATTGATTCTAAGATAGTTTTTTTTTTTGTACAGTATAAAAAATAAAAAAATAGTTAAATCAGTACAGTACGATTCCCATCATTAGAACAACAAAATTCAAATTTAACAAAATTATGATTTCAGTTTTTACAATCATTTTTTGATTAATTATTATGTATTTCAATTTATGGAATATATTAATAAATGTACTAGAAATCATATTTCAAATAATTTTTAAAAAATGTTTGATTGCTCTTCTACATTCAAACTTCAACTTCAAACAAGTCATTAGCAATAATTAAAGATAATAAATTTAAATTTTCAAAAAATTAGAACCTTATATAGAGGAAAAAATAATACAGTTACAATCAATAATGTACTTTTTACAACACATTTTTCAATTTTATTCTTTATTAATGTTTATTCAATAAATGAGTTTAGTTTTTGTTTCTCTACATATTCAAATTATTGAACTAGCCCAGTGTATACTGATAATGAATAATATATTAGCATTGTGATTGTCATGATTAGTTTCTAGTAAACCATTTTTACAAAATTCCTTCCAAAATCATTTTTCGATTATAGACTATAAAATATTTTGTAAAATTGATAATTTTGAAATATATGATAAGTTATTAATAAAAAGTTAATTCTTCCCAGCTGAAAGAATAAACAGGTTCTGGAGAACAGCAAACTGACCTTCTTTCCTACATCCATATTTTTAGTAGAAGTGTTACAATAGCTTAGCTGTAAAGAAAAGGATGAAATCATTTTAAAACTTTTTTTTTTTTAAAGTCATTGATTAAACTCAATTTCTAGTGTTTATCATAACAATGATTCATTCTTTTAAAACCTATTATTAATCTCTATTGAACGTTAATTGTTTGATCGTACATTGCTTTTTCTTAAGAATCGAGATGACTCAATGATTTAACCAAAACTTACTAATAAATTTTTTAACAGTCCACTTACATTAAATTACTGATAACATATCAGTTACAAGAAAAGTAGTTCAGATTCTATATAAATATAATTAAAACTGTACATTCTACCAGACAGTAACCGACCCGCATCATGGGCACATTTTCAAACTGTTTGTTTCTCCTTTCCATTATTTTTATTGGAAGCCATGCATTGGTCAGGTAAGAGAAAACAAATATTTGAATTTTTTTATCAAAAATTAATTATTAATTCCTTCAATAGTTTCTGTTATTTGTTCGAGATTAATTGATAAAGCAAACTAAACTATTAATAATAATGGTATTAATAAATAATCGGTGTGTATATCATGCTATAATATATTTTTTGTATCATTAAAACCAATTATTATATTTCTATAATTTGAATTTGTGTTGTGTTACAAAATTTTTATTAATTAATATTGTTAGTTTAAATATTTATTTTATTTGGGGAGGAGAAGGAAGATATAGTAATAAAGTTAAACTCTACTATTATTAGCATAAATATAATGATTATAAAATGTTTAAATATTGCTTCTCTCACTTTGTTATTGATATTATACACTGCTAATATCTTTGTTAGGTACTGGATTAGCAGAATAGCTTTATAAATGAATAGTTATTTTATGAAGATGTTTTTAAAAATAATTTTTATTAAATTTTTTTACTTCATTGTCTTAAATAATAGAACACTTACTTTTTTAGTTTTTAGGCATTTGATCATTATCACATAAACTACAAAAAAAAAGTAAAATAAAAAAGAATTGTATATATTCCATTTATTAAAATAAGGTATAACACTTTCTTTGCTAAACAGTAATTTTATAATAATACCTCTAATTTTTATGCTTTGAAAATTTGTTTATTTTCATAGTTTAGTACATGTCTGATTAATTTTATCAATCATAAATATCCTCTCTGTTATTTCCCATAACATCATGCTTACTACATATCAGTTACAAATGGATGTAGTTCTGATCAAATTAGCATGTCTAATTCAATAGTAGAAAACAAATAGTGAATTACAAGACTAAATTTCCTTCTTACAAAGGAAATCTACTACTTTTTGAATTTTTAAGATGTATTATTAATAATAATATTTCTAAACTAAATTATCTGGCTAAATAGTTTAACTTTATTTTTGGTGATTGAAAATTTGATATATTTGTCTGAAACATTTGGAAATTTATATTTCTAGTAAAAATTGGCACTTCACCAGAAATAGCACTTCACATGTTAATAGCTCACATAATTGCAATAGTTCTTGTGTGTTTTTAACTCAAAAATCTATAAAAATAATTTTCCACTTGTGATGTTGAAGCAAATGTGCGATATAAACATTATTAGTAACCTTTTTTTTAAAGGTACCATAACAAGGACCAGTTTGGACTTTCTATGACCTAGGTCTCTTATTTTGAAAATATAGACATGATTCTCAATCTCCTCAAACTGTAGCAACCATTAGTGTGGTTCCTGTGAGGAATTATATCTTCTGTTACTTTTTTCAGTTTTGGTCAAGTAGCCACAAGTTACAATATGTTCAAATTTGAATTATCAAGACAAAGCTATCAAATATGTAATTTATGAATTTTTTAAAGTAAAAGATTAGATACACCATAATAAAATAAAACAAAGATTCCTTTTACCATTTAAAACTTAACATTTATTTCATGGCTGTTAGACTTTATTTAGAAGCTAATAAATAAGCTAAGATCTTAAACACTTTTTCTGTATTACTTGCTGCCAGTGTGGTTCATCAGAAATGATTGGCTTACAAGATTATGGACTGATCTTTGTTACCATAGATTTGATATGACTACAGTTAATTGGAAGAGTATATAATATGTTTGTTCAGAGATTATAACTATAAAAAGTTAGTTCATCTTGAAAAAGCAAGAATTTAAAATGTTTCTATTATTAATGAGAAAATATATTTAATATTTAATGTTATATAATATTACACAGTTCTTAATCTTTTAAGAATATAGTTACAATGTTTTAATCAAATTAACATTCATACATTAAATTTTAGAGTTCCTTTAAAGAAAATACAGAATGAAGAATTAACAGAATTTGATGAATTTCATAAGCAAATTGATAATCTCAAGTCTCACTTTACTACCAAGTTATCAGCGAACACTGGTTCAGTTGAGTCCTTGAGCAATTATATGAATGTAAGCGATAATGGCTTATTAAATAAATTTTCTTTTTATGTTTATGAAATATTTGTTATTGATTCAAAGATACAATTATTTCAAGACACAATATTACGGTGAGATTGGTTTGGGAACTCCATCACAGAAATTCAGAGTAATATTTGATACTGGATCGTCTAATTTATGGGTACCATCAAAGAAATGTAGTTGGCTTAATATTGCCTGTTGTAAGTATTTACATACATTCTCAATTACAAAGATTCTCTTATGATAAAAATGAATAAATAGAAAAAATGATTTATTTTATTATTTTTTTAGTGGTTCATAGAAAATATAATAGCAAAGAATCCTCGACTTATATAGAAAATGGAACTGAAATATCAATGGCCTATGTTTCTGGTAGCCTCAGTGGTTTCCTCTCAACTGACACACTTGAGGTATCTATTAATCTATGAAAATAATTGAGTTATTAATGATTAATTAATGTTTTGTGAAAAAAATAAACTTTAGTGAGTTAGACAATATAATATATGCAGTGGCGTAATTAAGTAAGAAGGAGCAGTGTCACTTTTTTTTCTGACCTCTCCTTCCTCGCCTTTAAGTTATACGGGATTTTCCGAGGGCACTGTTTTTTAAAAATTACATAAACATCCATCTCTGTTGTGTTTCTGTCTTGTGATGATGAAATTATTATAATTATTATTAATTTTGGGTTAATTATTGTTTGTATTAATTCTTTAGGTACATATTTAATTTCTTTTTCTCTTGGTGTGATACTCCTTCTGAGTCAATGCCTGGAGAAAATTGCTTTTTTTTTTATTTAATAAAAGATTGGACTGGTAAATTTAATATTTTTGAATTAATATACAATTTGATGACTTTTCGTTGTTTTTTATCTTTAGATTGCTGGGATGGAAATTAAAGGACAGACTTTCATGGAGGCTACACATGAGCCTGGTCTCACATTTGTTGCAGGAAAATTTGACGGAATATTGGGTCTTGCCTATCCTAGTATTTCAAAACTGAACGTTGTTACACCTTTAGAGAATATGGTTGCCCAAGGTCTTGCTTCTGGAGTTTTCTCCTTTTATTTGAACAGGCAAGTTTAAACTAAACTAGTTGAACTGAGTAAATTTAAGAAATAAGATCAAAATAATAGGATTTGCAAACTAACCTGATACTATAAAACCTGAAGCAATAAAACTCTAAGTATGTACCATTTAATTTATAATCTTTGTTAACTATCACACCAAGTAATGAATGGTATGTTGTAGTTCTAAATTTATAATATCAATACATGTTACTCCATAACTTAACAATATTTTTAGATTGCACATTTATCAATTTCAGAGATACTAAAAGAGTAAAAATTAAATAATTATTTAATTCCAGAAATACTGACGACAGTACAGGAGGAGAAATTATCTTTGGTGGAATTGACAGTGATCTCATTGTTGAAGAATCCTTACATTATGTTCCTGTTACCAGGAAGGCTTACTGGGAATTCCAGATGGACAAGTATGTACTATCATTTATATTAAATGCTTATTTATTAAATTTGTGTATCTTAGAATTAGATACAGATGTTTGAGATTTTTTGTTAATAATCAATTTGAGGGATGGCATTTTTTTTTTAAATATATTATTTGGGAGTGAGGAGGATTTGAGTATTTCCTATAAGGAGAAGGTGGTTAGAGCCAATTACTTTTATGCAAGTAAACAGTCACCTGATCCTTTGACTGTAGATAATGGAGTCAATTATACTATTTACATTACTTTCTTCTGTAGAGAATATTATTTTGTGTGGATAAAAGGAATTCCCAATGAGTATGTCATAATCAACACAGAAATCTCCTAGCTTTTGACCTTTCTATTTCTTCACTTACATGATACGCCATCTCTCCTTGTGTAACTATGTGGTCCTCCTCTTCCTCACCTTTTAGGCTATATGGTGTTTTCTGGACCAGGGAGTGAGGGGTAGGGGATTAATCTCCCTCTCGTAATAACTCGTAAATATTTTATCTAATTATCTTTAATCCAGGTTGCCGGGCAATGGGCGGTGCTGTGTATACACATTAGTCGGGTTGGTCACCCTGCCCCTTCAATCCCATGTTTTTCATCATTATTTTGGAAGATACATTGGCATTTCATTCCATCACTAGACAAGAACTGTGGAAAGTCCTTACGGATCTCAAAAATATCCCACTAAGATTGATTGAAGACATAAGATCTGTTTACCAAGACTCAAAGGACATAGTTTGAATAAATAGAATAGATTCCTGTATATTTCGGAACAGTTTTAGGGAAGTTGAACATAAGGAGGATTTTGATGCAAATGATGGTTTTTATAGACAAAATCGTTCTCATATCAGACTCAAAGATAATCTACAGCAAGCAGTAATCAAATGGGAGGCCGAACTGTAGGGAAAGGGTATGACAATTAATGTTGGAAAGAACAAAGTAATGCATATTAGATTGGATTAAGAAATGGTAGAAATTGATTGCAAAGGGGAGATGCTGGAAATGGTGGAGGATTACTCTTATCCAGGTGTTGTAATTAACAGTGATAGAAGGCATTACCATAAGATTTCTTTCAGAATTAACAAGGCCAACAATATATAATAGAATTTATGCAATACAGTCGTTGTGAAAAGGGAGGTAGAGAATAATATAAAAATAAATATCTTTAAAGTTGTATACCTATCTACCATTATGAATGAGAGTGAAAGCTGGGTCCCTGAAAACCTGAGAAAAGTTACTGCTGGTGAAATGAAATATGTTCGAAGGGTAGCTGGCCCAACCAGGAGAGACTAGATCAGGAACAAAAAGATTAGAGAGGAATTAGGCACTGTTTAACTAAAAGATTCAATAAAAAAGCTACAATTGAGATGGTTTGGGCATTTATGTTAGATGAATGAAAATTGTGACCCACAAAAATTTATAGAGACAAGATGCACAGAGAAGCGCGCAAGAGGAAGACCTACTTTATCATGGATAGACTACATATCCAAGATCAGGCAGAAAAGAGGCAACTAAAGGACAGGATGGCTCTAGCATTAGACTGAAAAACTTGTGATTCATGGATCGAAGCACCTCCATGTTGAAAGGCATAAAAAGAGGAAGGAAAAGAAAATGAAGAAGAAATATATTTGACTTTACAGGAATGAGAATTTTTAAAGATGAATATGTTTATGATTTTAATGCTGAATGTGATCCAAATATATAATACCCAATATCAGATGCTAGAACCAATTTTAAGAGAAATTTATTATGAAAAAGATTGACTTTTGCTATCCTCCAGTTATTTAATGACATCATATTTTGATTGGTTTGAATATAACAGTGAATTTATTATTAATCTAAATGAAGTAGGGCAGATCGTTTTTAAAAATAGTAGCAGCTTACATTGGTATTTTCGTGGAAAATCTTAAGGGTAATTAAAAAGTTATTTATTAAAATTCTAATTTAATCTGCAAAATGATTGAATATTATAGGTATATATGAGCATGTTTCTAATTCCTTTTATGTCAAATCAGCAATAATGTATTACTTTTTTTAAAGGCTTGAAGTAAACAATAATGCTGTGGGCTGTCTGAGTGGCTGCAGAGCAGTTGCTGACACTGGTACCTCCATGATCTTAGGGCCTGTTGCTGATGTAGAAAAAATTAATGCTATGATTCCAGGAGTAGAAGGTCCAAGTGGTATTAAAATTGTAAGTAATAAAGTTTTTCATAGTTTTAATTGTATCTAATTTAAGTTTAAATAAGTCACTTTTTGTTTTATTTAATTAATGCTTCAAAGACTTTGAACCTTTAACCTGTACCACTACAACCCATGGACCGTCTAGGATTCAGTACTTTGTAAGAAAGTACTATTTCAAGGCTAACGGTTGTGCAGAGAGGTGATTGGGCTGAGATTACACTCAACCACCAGGTTTTCTCCCTTAATTAATTATTTAATTAACAATACCCCCTTATATAGGCTCGATGTGTCTCAGGAGGGCCTCTTCATTCCAAGGTCGATCCACAGCTGATGTAAAAGAATAAATAATTACCTGCCAGTGCCAGATTTGAATCTTGGATCTTGAGCATTGGATGTCAGTGCCATACTAAATGAATTACACTGATCCCTTTAGAGTCTTTAAGGTTGCTATCATTTATAGATCATGGTTAATTTAAAAAAGAAAAAAGGTGTGCTATTCCATAGCTGTTCCTCCCTCAACCGATGGAATTTCAGACTTCCTTTTATGACATTTTCAGGAATTAACTAGTTCGTAAATCTCATGTTTTTTGTTGCGGATTACAACTAGATGAATTAAAATAGTGATGAATGCACAGTAGATAATTTTTAGCTGGTTCTTTTTTTAGTACAGCATTCCAAAGCTTCTTTTAGAGCCACAGTTTTTAATTCTCTTATTATTCTACCCATTTTTCTTTCTATTTAAATGATACTTTTCTAATTGATAGAAAGTATAGTCTATTCTAATTTTAAATAATTTACATCATGATGTTTTTACTATTTTAAGGCCCAATTAGCTGTCTAATCCTGCTTAATTTTCTGAATTATTTAAATTTTATGGAGCATAAATAAATGCAATATTGTTGCTTCTTTATTTTCTGATCTCTAGTTTTCTATATTTAGAAAAGTACCAAAATATTTTACACATGTTTTTCAGAATTACATTTCAAATGCGGTATTGATTAGCATGAGCAGAATCAAAGGATTGCTTATGATAAAATGAATAGTATTATAGTAACATCAAATTCCATTTATGTTAGATAAGCTTTTGAAACGAATTGTGATGACAAAAAGTAATTTTTCTTTTTTTCTATGTATACAGGTAGATTGCAATGCTATTGATTCACTTCCTGATGTTACATTTAAAATAAATGGCAAACAGTATACTCTTCAAGGAAAGGACTATGTATTGAAAGTAAGTATACAAAATCTTAACTGTCTTATTAGATTTAAAGATTCATTATTAAGTTTTAATAAACTAAATTATAAACTTGGTAATAATATTGCTTCAGTTGAATTTGTTTTAATTGTCTTTTGTTTTCTTTTTTCCTTTTACAGTTTTCAGTTTTGTTCTCAACAAGCTGCGTGACAGGATTTACAGGAATGAATTTACCTCAAATTGACTGGATTCTAGGAGATGTCTTTATTGGAAAATTTTATACAGTTTTTGATGGTGAACAAGACAGAGTGGGATTTGCAACCTTAAAATAAATTATTGATTTTATTACCATTAATTTATCTGAATAAACTTTTAATGTAATGCAATCATGTGTGTTATTTTCTAATCTATACATAGATTAGATAAAATATATCCTTTTGATTTACTAGTGTCAATTCTGTAATATTTTGAGAGCAGTTTTCAGCTCTTCATTTTTAGTGTGAGTGTAACTTTATTCTCATACACTTGTTTTTTGGCAAAAATTCAGAACTACTATGAAATATAAACAATCTAATGCCCTCTTTCTATGTATTTTAAAAGGGACTGGTTATTCCTCTGATCCGATTTATTGTAACATCATTCCATAATTAAGATATTATTTATAATAATTATAAATTAGGATTATCTTTAAGTTTTTATTAATATAACTTCAATTATCATTAATTAATAATCATCAGTTTATTTCCATTATTTATATATTTTTTAAAAATAAAAAATACTATTGTTTATAATATTAAATGATTCAAATATTTTAATAAATATTAAAATATTATTATCATCTTAAATATTAACATTTTATTAATATTATCATTAATATCAATTAAAACATCATTAATTATAATATTTTATTAAAATTAATTAAGTTATCATTAATGTTGGTGGTATCGGCATCAAAAGTCTTATTATTATTTGTTATTATTTAATATTAATAATTAGTTGAAGTAGACTTCATCTCAGTAAAAATAATACAAATATTAATTAAGACTTACTATTATTAAATTTGGGTAACTGCTAAAGGAGCAAAAAGCCAAATCGACCATGTGCTGATAGACAAGAGGCATCAAAGCTCCATACAAGACATAAGGAGTTATCGTGGAGCTGACTGTGATTCGGACTATACTATGATTAGAATTAAACTCTGTCAGAGGCTGAAGCGGATCCACTGAATTGGGGACCAAGTGGAAAGAAAGAGGTACGAAGTCCATGATTTGAAAAATCCTATAGTACAAGCTGAATTTCAAATTGCGCTAAAAAATAAATTTGAACCCTTGAACGCGGAAGGCCTCACGGTTGACCAACACTGGGAGGCACTAGAGTCAAGGCTAAAACAAATAGCTAAGGAAGTAATAGGGATACAGGAAAAAAGAAAAGCCAAGAAATGGTTCACAGAACCATGCGAAAAGGCAGTGGAGGAAAGAAGAAAAGTCCTCTGCTTAGCACAACTGATCAAGATGCAGGACAAATACACAACCACCAGGAAAAAGACAAACAAAATAATAAGAACAGCAAAAAGAGAATTCCTCAAAGAAAGGTCACAAACTATCGAAGAAAACTGGCAGGCTGGAATTCTTCTCAAATATCAGGAAAGAAAGGGTAGGATATAAAGCGAGAAATACACAAATGCTAGGGAAAGATGGCAAATTGACGGCATCAAAAGAAAAGATCCTAAGCAGCTCCTTAATCAAGGGCACTCCACAAATGAAGAAGACATGGACCACACTGAAGACATCAACCCACTTGATGTTGAAAACCCAGATATTCTGGATGTGGAAATAGCCATCAGCAGGCTTACAAGAAGAAAGGCTCCAGGGATAGAAAACCTACCATCAGAATTGTTCAAGGAAGGGGGAGAAAACCTCAGAGCCAAGCTATTAGATATAATCAAAAAGATATGGGAGAAGGAACGGATACCAAAAGCCTGGAACACAGGGTTGATCTGTCCTATGCTTAAGAAGGGCTCCATGTACGAATGTGGCAATTACAGAGGCATAGCATTTCTTCCGGTTGCCTATAAAATAATGACTAATGTTCTGCTAAATCGGATATATCCGTATTATGAAAACATTATAGGTGACCATTAAACAGGATTCAGGAGGGGGGAGAGTATGCTAGATCAGATATTTATCCTATAACTTGTACCTGAAAAACGATGGAAAGTAGATCAGGACGTGCATGCTTTATTTGTCGACTTCAAAACAGCCTATGACTCCATGGACAGAAACTGTCTCTGGAAGGTCATGACTGAGCTGGGTGTTCCCGAGAAATTAGTGAGGTTGACGAAGGCGTGAACAAATGATCCTAAATGCAAGGTACTAATACAAGGAGAAGTATCTGAAGCCTTTGAAGTTAAAACGGGTTTGAGGCAGAGAGGTGGACTCTCGCCGATACTGTTCAACTTAGCCTTAGAGAAAGTAATAAGAACAAAATCACGCGAAGATGGAGGGATGCATGTCAGAATGAAACACAAAATCCTAGCACATGCCGATGATATAGCTGTCCTGGGAGGCAATCAAGAGGATATTGACACTCGGACTAAAAGAAGCAGACTACAAGTCAATGTAGATTAAACAGAATACATGATAGTTAGCTGAAACATCCACCCTAATAACACGATCTGCGTGGACTCTAAGTCATTCCCGAAAATAAACAGATTCAAATACCTCTGCTCCACAATAACCTCAATAAATGATCAACTAACAGAGATAGACCAGCGAATAACAAGTGCGAACAGATCTTTCTTCTCTCTTTCTAAGGTACTGAAATCCAGAAATCTTCTGAAATCTAACAATAGGGTGTATAACGCCGTGATTAAGCCAGTTCTACTGTACAGTTGTGAAACCTGGGCTCTAACCGGCATACTAGAAGCCAGAATTGAGAGATTCGAAAGAAAAGTTCTCTGTAAGATAACAGGACCTATATGGGACCAGAACCTTGACACATGAAGGAGAAGGAACAATAAAGAACTGCTGAAAGAAAAGGGTTAGTCAATATCTCATGACATGAAGGCAAGGAGGTTAAGATGGGCGGGGCATGTAGCTCGTAGCAATCTATCAGGACGCCTTTACACAACGATGAATGCTAAAGTAACAGGCAAGAGACCACAAACAAAGGGAGGCCAAAAACCAGATGGATAGATAGGATAAACAAAGAAACAGCTGAGCTGAGGATTTGAATTGGAGAAGGTTTTAGGCATAAGAAGGACGATGATTGTTGATGATATGATAGAGGAATGTACCTAGGAAATATTGTCTTCGAATGGAGGGGAAGAGTCACTCTAACTCAGTGTAATGGTGAGAGACCTGGAAGTATCACGGGGCACCAATAATAAGTATTTTTGCAATTGCTTCCAAGCTAACTTTTGTTTTAATACTCAATAAGTCGCATTATAAATATAGAATTTCATTGAACATGAGAAGCATAGAAGTAAAGAAGTTTGTTTTAAAATTAAACTTGAAAAATAATATTATTTTCTAGCTCCTTTCATATAATTAAAACAATACTTGTGTTTTAAAAAAATAATAATCTAAATTTCACTAACAAATATATAACTATTTCATTTAATATAGAACCAATTATAACTTAAAAATCACAACACACAACTTTTACTTACCGCTCAACTTTGAATAGAAATTATTTTCGGGCCATGTTGGGCTATTATAAAATTTTTGAATTGCATTTTTGACCGAGTTAAAACTAAAAGCTTACAGCTGACAAATCAGAAATAACATTAGTCCTATTTATTATACCACATATTATTATATTATATTTATAATCCGTTGATCATGTATTGTATGATCCATTGATTGTAGATTGTACACTCCCTTGATCATGGATTGTACGAGTATTAGTTATTAAACTGCTATTTTCCATTGCAAAATTTACTAAAATGAAATTAAGAGAATCTCCAAAGAATTGAAAGTAAAAGAGACAAAACCCTCAATGAGATAAAGGGGCTAAGCAGGGACTGGGAAGAGTAGTTACGCTGAATTGAGGCTCCTTGACCCTAGCTAATGGCATAAGAGGAAGACAAAGAAGAGAAGAATTAAGAGATTTGCATTGTCTATCATAGACAGGTCAAAATTTGTCACACTAATTGTAAGTGGATACTGTCATTGCCTTGAATCCGTGAATTTTAAATACTTTACCAAACTTGAAAAAAAAAAAATTAAAGTTTACATTTAATAAGAAAATTTCATTTAATTTCCTTGAAAACACGTTAAATAATGTTAGTTTTTAGAAATTATTATTTATGATTTATTTAATGATAATATTGGGATTACACAAAGGGGAAATTCATCAAATTATTCAATAATTTAATTTTCTAAAAAGTTACATGACGATTTTTCGGAATAAACGGATGTTGATATATATAATTATTTAACTATAATACCAGATCTAGAATTATTAAACTACATTAAATGTATTTAAGGTTATAAACAAATGCTTTATACATCCATGAAATGATTTTATTTTTCACTTCTTCTTTCACACAAGTACAATGAAATAGTTTTTTAAACAATGTCTTTGCCTTGATTAAGTAGATTTTAAATACTTTTTCAAACTTCAAAATATTTTAAAAGTTTACATTTAGTTAGTAAATTTCCTTAAAACCATGTGATTTATGTTAAATAATATTAGTTTTCAAAAATTATTATTTATAATTTTTTCGCCACTCTTCGTTACCTTCTACTACTTTCTATGTTAGATATTTTTTTTTCTTCTAAATTTCTCCGCTATCCAACGATATATTATAGGTATATCTTTTGACTAGTATTTCCGGAGATTCATTTTCGACCTCGATAAGCATTTTCTGTTTTTCTCCTTTATTACATTATCAAACTCTATCAAAAGTTATATTTATCATTTTTTTTTTGTAACTCTTAATAATGTGAGATAGTTAATTATTTAAAATAAACTATATTAAAGGTACTTTAGAGGCAGACATATATGAACATTGAGCATTTAAGCCCTGTAAAGTGATATAAAAAGGGATAAGACCTAATTGATATTAAAAACCACCTAATTATACAATGATACACCGAGTTTAATCAAAATCGTTAGAGCCCTTTTTGAGAAAAAATGTGTTTCAGCGTTGATATAAAGTAGCACTTCCGGTTAGAAGATTTTAAGGAAAAAGTTGCTGTCACATCTAAAGCATATACCTATCTTAAATGCGTAATATCACTAACATACACACACATCAACCATTTTGCAGGACTTAGTTATTTGGACTGGGGTACCACAAAACGTGTATTTCCTTTGAAAAATCATCGAAAATTTTCACTATCGCAATACTTTCTCTTACTATATATCTACATATATAGTT